GCCTGGTCCGGTGAGAACCCGGCGTGCTCCGTCCCGGCTTTGTAGGGATGCGAGGTCAATGGTCTAACGACTACGGCATGCACGACTATGAGTACACCCCTCCCTCCACCCACCTTTTCTGACACATCCGCGTGAAGGTTTTGAATGACTGACTTGTCGGTTGTATGTGTTTGTTTCTGCGACCTGCAACAATCGCCGCTCAACGACCTCGCCAACGGCAACACCTGAGCAGGGCTGTCTGCTTTGTAAAGCTGGCTCCCTGTGCGAAATTTGCGCCATGAAGCATGTGAGGGCCTTGGGTCTGATGCGTTGTGGTAGAGGCTTTTCGGGAGCCACGGCCTGACTAGACACCTGTTATTCCCGGCCCGCGCCCTTAGAGCTCCCGCCGCCTTCTCTCTCCCGCGCGCTTTCCGTCTCTCCACGGATGCGAGGACTATAACTTCGAAAAGATAATCAGGAACGAGGCTTTGCAGGAAACACGTGCATGCATCGCAAAACACGGCAACGAGCGGGTTAAGCCGTAACGGCAGGATAGCAAATGTAGCACGTGACTTTCTTTCACAAGGAGCTAACTTTAGAGGAGGGCACCATTCCGTAGAATGGCAGCAGCGTTAAACCCTAAACTCGAGCCTCTCTTGTAGCCCCAACCCCCCAGCCTCATCTTCCGTGCTCCTCCGCGACCTCTCTCTCTCTCTCACCAACTCGGCGCTTCCAGGAATTCCGAGATGAACTGCGAGACCTGCCACTGGGACCGGGCGGCAGCCTGCAACGTCTGTCCAACATAGCGCAGTTCCTCTTCGACAGGGAAAAGCCAGATCTCGTTTACCAGAGCCCGGTGAAGAGGAGCACCGGGATTATCAGTAACGTCCGAGGAAAAGTGTCCAAGCTCTTCGCTCCCCTCCAGGTACTATTCCCGCAACACAATACCAGCCGCGAACAAACCGAAGCCGGGCCGGGAGAAACCTGAAATGTGACAGCGTTTCTTCCCTGACGGTCACATATAGTTTGACCTTGATTTCGTTTGGTTCACGGCCAAGAGCGTAGTGCCCCCGGAAACGTTTGGGTTCTTCGTGTGTTGATTTGCTTTCTGTGGTTGTTTCAGTCCCGCAGTATCGCGGTACCATCCCTTGCAAGAATTGCGTGCACAGTAGGGCATGACATCCCTCCTCACCCGACGAACACCCGGAAGCTACGGTATTCAGACCCAAACCACAACAAATGCCCATACCCGTCCCCCCCCCTCCCCGTTCACACGCACACGTGCGTGCACCAGGGTTCGGTCGGGGGCTCCACAACCGCCGGGGCGGACGACAACTCCGAGATAGGGGGTGGCGACAGCGGCGGTAGCGGAAGGGGTAACAACGTCAGATGGAAGAAGGGAAAAAAGAAAGGCGGGACCGGTTCCGAAGACGGCACCGTTTCCAGCGCCGGCGGCGACGACGACGTCGACGAAAAGCGGGCGAACCGGGAGTACCAGGTGGGGAAGCTGAGGGGCAGCCTCTCTTCCTCTCGCTCGTCCAACTCTAGCGCTACGACAGCGAGCAACTCGAGTATGTCCTCAACGTCGTCGGGGAGAGGCGGCAGTAGTAGCTTCTCTACGGGAGAGGGTGGCAGCAGCAACACCGGCAGCAACACAAGCATCGGAAGGGCAGGGCGGGGTGGAAGCACGGATCGATCGAGCGGGAGCGTGGGGTCCTCAACAACGACAAGCAGCGGCGTTTCTACTGCCGGGAGCGGCAGCTACTCCAGCTACTCCAGCAGCGGGAGCAGCACCACGGCAAGAAGGAAGGCCACCGGAAAGCCGCCATTAGGCAGTAGGAGGAACACGAACTTGGCCGCGAAGGGTAAACCAAGAGTGTCGCCGGTGGGGTAACTCCTCACAATATTTTGCTATTATTTGCACTTACAGTTTTGTGGTGCGATAGACGCGGGGGGGGATATTGTTTGATCGATGATACGTCTGAGATGTTGTATCGTGTGCGGAAAGATGTTTAATGCCGTTTTGTTTGCCATCCCTCGGGCGCACGCAGCCCGCGTCGTTGGGAGCTTGTCGTAGTCGGCCTATAGGACTACTGTAAAGAAGAAACCTAGCGCAGTCGGGAACACCCTACAAATTAGAAGTGAGGAGGAGATGAGACGGCGGTAAATGATTGGATCAAGGCCGTCCCTTCGTTGTCTATAACCATCTATCGAGACTATGTAGGCCTACGTATGTGTGTTGTGCACGAATTGCGTACTGTAGACATACGAGGACCCAAAGGGATGTGTTTGCAGCCCAGAACTCGAGGTTAATCACCAACAGCTCAGTCATCCCTCTTGCTATTGGCAGTCTACCTCCCGCCCCTTGCCACCCCCTTGATGCTCCCTTTGCATTGTGAGGTATTTTGAACACCTGCCTCGTGCAACTGCAGACCACGAAAGTATGTGGACAACCCTTGATGTTTTTGATAGGACCTTCAATCTGAGACGAATGGTCGGTTGGTGTAGTTACATAGATCGACAGTCAGTGAGAGCGAAAGGCCTGGTTTCGCGCTAGGATGTTCACGCGAGACGAGGAGGGTGCGTCTCACAAGACTTCACTACCTTTTCGTGATCTCTGAAGGCTTCGGGGGCGAAAGAGATTTGCACGTGCCTAGACTACCGACTGACGTTGCCCCAAGATAAATGGTTCTCGTCGTAGTGCCTGCAACATTGTGGCAAGTAAGAACCTTGCGGTAGGTGACGATTTAACGGAAACATTGAAATTGTTTCTCGTGTTATTCCTGATGAACATGCGGGAAAATTAGCCACCCGTGTCAAGGGTGCGGTGAGAGCGCCCGCATTCCCTTCCTCTCACACACGTCTGGAAGTTTAGAACGTACAAACCGCTGCCATGGAATTATCCTTCACTCGCCATTCCAATCACGAGCTCCGCAACCAACGCTTTGTGCCTTCCAACTGCTACGCTTACGATTCATTCGGGGCTCTGGCGGCACATTCGGTCGTCTTTCGTGTGGTGTCAGAGAGCAAGATAAACGAAAGAATTCGACGGGAAGACCAATCAATACCAACAAGTACCTCTGTTGGCACAGGGGGGACTCCAGCGACACCACCTTTCTTCTCGTCTGCAAGGGCAACATTTTCATGCATTTGAGTGTGGCTAATGACGCGTCATCGTACGTGCCAATGACGCAGAGTTGTCTCACGCAAGCTTAGGCTGCCTAATTTCCGCAGAAATGCACGGCGCTCTGGGGTGGCAAGGGGGATGCGGTTACAAAACTGCACCGGATTGACAAAGGGCATACGCGGCTAATTTGCTCCGGGACCTCGGATTTGGCGCGGTTACAACGAGCTTACGAGGACGAACTGTTGCGCGGAAATCCTTCCGTGCTCAAGAACGTTTCTTGTTTTTCTGTATTGTGTTGCCCGAAAGATCCGACCCTGTCCCAACATCACCACCAAAATTCAGGGCAACACTCGTTTGAACGCTCCTCATGTGGCCTGCGCACACCAGACGCATCGGGGTCTAACCATGAGCAAGGCATCATCGAAGGTTTCGCGTCACATACCCGACCCATGCATGCAGTTCTCCTCAAATCTTCCACACTTGGTCGTTTGGGAACAGTTTCAGGTTGGTGGCAATTCGTTCTCTTTCTTCACGACAAACCTCTGCAAAATCAGCGCTCTTGGACTCGACCAGCTACTTCCCACCAAAGCCTAACCCACAAGAATGGTGGGGGGGGCAACAACGATCTGATCGAAACTTACGTCCGCCCGAGGCAGGCAGGCAGGCAGCCAGCCGGACCCGAACGCAAGAAAAGACACGTGGCACAAAACCGCACCGGAGCCATAACACTCCATCATAGGCGGCCAAAAACGACTTGACAGCGAGACCGAGCTCCGCCATCAACAACAGTCAAACCGAAAATCCATACACGCGCACTCCCGTCGTGCCACCGCCATCCCACTGCCATCTGCGGAAAAAAAGTTGGGTACCACCCATCTATCGCTCAAAGTGTCGGACCACACCAGGATTAGTAGTGTCATAACTAGTAGACAGCACACGCGTGTACTTTTTGTGGTGGACACCAAGCCCGGAATATTTACGTGTGTTAACATCTATGTCCCTGAAAATGGAAGGCCGTAAAGGTAGGCCGACAAGACCAGCCCATGTGCCTCTATATATACGTTTTGTTGGCACATTAGTCGTCCCCTCCGGAACAAAGTCTCCAAGATACAAGGTCTTACTCGCACCACGCTAGGCAGTCCACATCTGTACACCCACCGGAGTGGTAGGTAGCTGCCCCACACAACGAACAGACCTGCTTGTACCCGCACCCGCCACACCCGCCTCCTCACACGATGAGTCCCGCCCAATACATGGTGCAGACAAATCATCGACACGACCGCCCGAGGAGAACGCATGCGACGCTTTTCGGTTGTTTAAACTTTGGCCATGCCGAGCAACTCCTTGGCTCTCTGGAAGAAGGAATTCTCCAGCTCGGCCAGCGTCTCCCCGTGCTTGGCGTACTCGATGGGGTTGACGATGTCGCAGTGGTTGTCCTTCGGGTCGCAAACACTGGCCTCAGGGATTTCGTCAAAGCTGCCACAAGGATTGTACATCGATCGTTGAAACATGGCGGCGAGAGGGGAGAGGGGGAGATACAGTGACAAACAAGACGAGACAGCAGTCATGGGAACAGAGAGCAACGGGTGAACAAGGAGAAGGGATTACGGATTGGGGGACGAGGGCATAGCGCGTGCCAGAAAACATACAAAGAGACCTCGGCAAGTTGTACGAGGACTGCGTGATTGCAGGGTGCGCGGCAACACACAGAAAGGAACCTCAAGCCCATCCTGGCGGAGCAAAGAAGCAGAACGCATGCACATGCCCACATCAGCAAGCTTAACAAGAGGTGACACCGCGCCACACACCCACGGGAACTCGTCAGCGTCCAACGCCGCTCCCCAAACGGTGCTTCGGCCGAACACACAAGGCAGGAAGGTCGTTGGAATCTTCAAGACAGAAGATTGGCGGAGGAAGTGCCGCATGCATACATCACCCAAGCGTCTTTTGTTAGCGCTGTGTCCCAGACAGTTCTGCGGCAGCGACCCCCCGGACGATCACATCTCTTCTCGGCGAAACCCACACATATTGATCTCGAAATTTCTTGTTTCGGAAGCAAGAGGAAGGAGTCCCATGCCGTTCCGCGGGCGTACCCTTACCATTGTTGTAGGGAAAGACGGTTTCACTCGCGAAAAAAGTGCGTGACGGCGGAATTGGCGCCCACCAAGAAATATTTCGAAACCGTCGATGCATGCAAATATTGCTACATGTAGAGATGAGCAACAAATTCTTGCCGTTGAGTACTTGTAAAAAGGTGAAAGGAGGGGCGCCGCTGCCACAAACCCAGCGGCGCTTGCTTTCACGGGGAAACCCACAACGCACACGCCAGAAGCTCAGCAAGAAGCAGTCGACGGTGTCCGCCAACGTCTCGGAGCATACGCTTTCCGTGAGAACGCAAACGAAACGCGACTGTTTTAGTCTATCTACCGAGCGGTCTAGGTTACGGGAAAGGTGCCGTTCGTTCGCGCGGCATACTGTACCTCTGACACTTTGTCGAAGCTGAAGGGACAGAATGTGAGCATAACAACAGGCAGGAGAAGGACGCGCAAGACACAGGCAGCAGCAGTAGCAGCAGCAGGATCAAAATCACAGAAGAGGGAGAGGAACGACCGCAGGTAGGATCACCCACCATACGAAAAACAGCCAATAAGAGCTCCTCTCCCCCCCCCCC